TACAGTGAAGCAGCCTAATTGTGATATAAGAGAGTGTGTGTGTGTGTGTGTGTGTGTGTGTGTTCTTACACCAGCCTGCACACATGCATTTGACAGTTACCCTCCTTCACTGCTGGCTGATCCGGTTTGAACTCCGTGCACTTTTGCACCCTTTTCCGCCTCTACTGCACAAACCTGAACACTTTCAGTGTCCCAACTTTTTGGTGGAGACTAAAAAGCAGATACACACAAGCGACACACTTTTGATAACAATGAAAAGCCCCCCCTCCTCCCCCCTCGTTTGCGCACCCCTGGACTCCCATACCCCATGCGTCTGGGGCCCCTGGGGTTCTCCGCTGTCTCTTTCCCTCTTTCCCGAAAAAAAGCGCCATGTTGAGGCTTCAGTGTGGACTCGGCACGCTGCTCCGCGGAGCGTTTACAGAAATCACCCCGGGGCTGAGGTGTGTGTTGCCGGGGACTTACCTTTGCGATCGCCTTTTTGTACCTCATGGCCGCTTGTTCGATAAGACTCTGGACTTTTACATTCCCATCTCCACACGGAACGACCACCCGGGTCCTCCCGAAGCACACCGTCACTTTCATTTCTTTCCTTTTTCTTTCCTCCGCCGCGTTAATTCCAAAGAGGAAAAAGCCGCGTCAAAGCGACAATAACCATCCCCGGCGCTGCGTGGGAGCAGAAAACACCGAAACCCCCAGCCTGTCGACCCAAGCGGATTCGTCTTTGTGCCCTGCGTCCTCGAAGGAGAAGCCCAGCATAAGATCCAGCGCGCAGGGCTGGGTGGCGTCCTCCCTGTGCGGTGTTGACTCACTTACAGAAAGTTCCCAGCAGAAAAAGCCTCCCCAGCGAGAGCGCACAACTGGACAGCTGACAACCGACACTGCGTGTGCGCCCACATGTCAGAGCAGGCACGAAGAATGTTCCCAGCGCGGGCTGATCCATCTCAGTTCACTTTACATTTCCCTGCGTTCTTATCATATAATACATGAATTTGAAAAACTAAATAAAAACTTGTAAAAACTGGCAGGTGGTCATCAGCAGAGAGTGGTGAGGACTGATAGGGTAATGGAACATTTTATCCAACAAAACCCGCGTTTTTTCTGACCTGTTATCACAGTGGAGAGTAACCAGTATAACTAAAATATAACTTAAAGGGGTAACCCCCCCTCCCCCCATGTGATTAGCAGTTATAATGCTGTGGTCTTTGAAACGATGGGGGGCAGGGCTGGATTAAGTCACTAGAGGGTAACAGGGTAAAAAATGACCTGTGGGCTCCATACAAACTCTGAAGGGGGGGCGGGGGTCTGGAGGCCTTGGGTAGTTTTCCAGGCAAGTTTGTGTTGTTTAAGGCATGAGCCAAGGTTTATTTTGGATTCACTTTTCATGCTAGAAATATTTAAGTACAGATGTTCTGACTATCCTACAGGCCATTCCTGTGGGTAATATCGAACTGAGATCCACGAGTGTGGGAGTCACCGCAAGCCAGTGGCCTCCTGTGGGCTCAAGCTTGGAGGGCAGGCATATTGGAGTAAGCAGTGCTCGTGCATTACCGCGCGTTGATCTGATGAATGTGGTGATGGATGCTGAATTTCATTTTTAATAAATAATGCAAAATAAAAGGCAGAATGTTATCAGACAGAGTTGCATAGAACAAAGTCTCATTTGTATTTGACTATGCTGATTGCAAAGAATATATTAATGTAATAAATTATTGACCTGCAGTGCAGGATGAGAAAAATGAGCCCAAGGCTGGATAGAAAGTATGACCCAATTCACTGATAATAGCTGCAACCTTTCTGCGGCGCTCCTCTCTATCCCTGCAGCTCCTACTCTTTCTGGTCCAATGTGGTCCAAATGAGTGCACACGATGAACACGGCTGCACGAGATGCATCTGCCCCCCACCTCCTTTGTCCTAACACTGTATGATTCTGTGATTGGTGCAAGATCTAAAGTGAACTTGAGGGTTTGAAACCTGCTTTGATATGTTACTATAATAGTGTTTGTCCTTTGATGTCTCACCACACATGTCTAACCACACTTCTGCATGCATTTTTTTTTATATATCCATCACTCCAGGGTTAGACATGCACTATCCATGCAATACCAAACCCTTAACTGTTTCTATTCTGACTTTTTGGAGCAATGGAAACTTGTTTGACACCAGAACAGAAGCAATAACAGCTTCAACTTCCAGTGAAGTTCATACAGACTGCAAAACAGATGCAAAAAAAACTTAAAGCCAACATACTTTGACAAGCTGGGCTCTGCCGTGCGCTTCCGTTTTAACAAATGCTACAAATACTCCATCTAGTGGTGTAAAGTGGTGTAGGAAAAAAAATTCAAGTACATAAAACTGGGACCAGTTTGATGAAGCAAACGGAGTTCTTTATTCAAGTGTGCATTGATGAGACTCAGATTTGTGAGTTCAGTGGTGCTAGCAAGCTAGCAACAAAAATGGGAATTCACTTAACAGCATTGATACAAAATTGCAAAATAATTGTTCCTGCAGCCCCACATTGTTGTTCTTTAATCAATACGGCTTAATATCAACTGCATTTCTTTACATATAAAAGAAGATCAAGCTGTGCCCGTAAAATCCACTGTGACTGTCTGCATGAGAGATTGCTGCAGGGAACATCAGTGAGCATGTCAGTTCTCCCCCCCATTAATCAAGCTCATTTGCTTACCTCAACTGCCATAGTAAGATAAGTTCAGAGGCTGGTTTGCAGTTTGTCCACTGCACATCAGGAATGCAGGAGGAAGGGGGGCAGGACACTCAGGAAAACCCAGCGCTGTCCCTGGGTTTCATATTCCTTGCTGATAATCATCGCACAAAAGCAGCTGTTCCCAGCTGCCTAACTGAAAACATGATTATATACAACAATTCAGAAAGAAATGTAACACAAGCATATGTATGGAGGGTGCAGGGTTCATAAATATGTTTCTAGCACTAAAAATAGTGTGATTGACATGACTCATGCTGCTGCTTCAATGCTCTGTGGTGCAGCAAACGTTTGGAAGTCTAGTCATACTCAAAATCTACAGTCTGATGAATCCTGAGTCCATTTATCCCAAACGCACAAACCACCACCACCACACACTTCCATTGGTTGCTGAACCTAGGATAATCCACATTCTTCGCTCACACATTTTCAGACTTGCCTTCTACAAAGGGGGCATCGTAAACAAAAGCAGGCACAAGGCGTGCTCTGACATGGTCACAGAAGCGGAGGTCATACCTGAGTCGTGACATATTCGCTCACCACCACAAGATGACATCAAACAGGCTCGCTCATGCATGTGGAATTTACTACATCCTTCCTCCACACTCACCGAAACATTCTAATATGAAATCTCTATTAATGACATCGCTGCTATTGCTAAACTTGTAGAGTGGAGTAAAAGCTCAGAGGAGGAAATCACTCATCCCTGGATCTCACATGAACATTCATTTTAAATGTTCATGTGAGAACAGAGAAGGCCCAAGAGCAGTGAAGTGAGGGATCATGGCACTTGAGTTTCCATGTTTAAGGCAGATATTGTAGCTGGAGTGAAACAGGGCCTCGAAGACATGATGAAAGTATCAGCATGTCAGTAAACAATCATGGTGGTAAGTAGGAAAGTACAAATAACTGTACTCAGGTTGAATTTTCAGGTATCAGCACTTTTATTTATTTTTTGGCAACTTTTTACTTTTACACCCTACAGTTTAACACAAACATCTTTACTTTCTACTCCTTACATTTTCAAAACAGGCTCCTTACTTTAAGGTTTAAAACAAGGGATCTTTTTTATTTCCCAGAAAATAGGAGCCTAAATGAAGGAAACAATGATACATAAAAGACTGTGGACAAGCACATCGAGCTCACCAGGGAGGATATGAAAAGTGGCAGGTTAGCCTTGTTAGACGGTGAGATTTCCATCAGCATTTAAAAGTCGCTATGTATCGTAAACCATCGCATCTGGATCTGTATTTAAGGTCTGACTCTAATTATCCACTGGAGCACAAACGGGGTGTCGTCAGAGTGAACACCATCCCCACAGGTACAGTGGCCAGGGAAGCAGAGGAACATCATATCAAGAAGAAGGCCCTAAGTAAATGTGGTTATCCCAGCTGGACATTTGTCAAAGCTGGTTTGACAACGTACTCATGGTCATTGATCAGTGGTTGTTGATAAATGGTCATGACAATTAGCATACTAAAGATCAAGAAACCGAACTCACAGCCCATTTTCATCAGTGGTGCTAGTTTCAGTCATTATGCAAATTTACTGTTTATAAGTTAGGAGAAAGCCTGGACGATTGACCATGCATCAATCCTATTGGTGTAACCATCAGCAGGACTTATCAAACTCAAAGGGCTCACAGAGGCAAGACATATAGTAAATAACGCAATGTTCAAGGTTTAAAGTGGGCCAGAATGATCCAGAATGGCGTTTTTGTTGCAGATATCCGTAAGTTGCAGTCACAGTACTTCACCATCAAGCTACTGCTGCAGAAGAGGAGTGAGTATAACGTTTTTTAAGTGGCAGGTAATTTTAAATGAAACCTTTCTATCAGCTTAACAAACATCAGCAACCATTGGCAGTCTGTTGCACAGTGTGTCTGCTAGCTAAAGGTCCAGCTGCTGTTTTGGAAAGAAGTTCACTCAGAGATGAAGAAAAAGTAAAAGACGTACGAAAGACAGGACAGGAGAAGAAAAAGAGAGGTTATATTTAAAGGTAAGGATGCTCAGTGACATCAACTGGAAAGCTAAACTTACATGTAAGTTATATGATGGGAAGTTTTTCATATTGTGAAACATTCTTCAAAACAAACTAAGGTGTATACTCGGTGTTGCTGAAAGGTTGCATGAAAATCCTTCGCAGTTGTGCAGGATAAACAGGTTAGTTTGCTGTACTGTGGTGACTTTACTGTAAAACACTATGTTAGACTGGTGCATAGCAGCTGTGGTAATTGTGGTCAGAGTTGGGGTATATAAAATATTGTAGAGATAAATTTAAATTTAAGCTGCTAATGCTTGTAGTCATTCATTCAATTCCACCTTTGTAGTACAAAGGGAGCATAAACAATACTGTCAGTGTAGCGGATCAAAATCAGTGAAGTTAGCTTGTGAATGATCCACTTACATCTTGTTGAAATCAGTTGTGTAAACCCATAAACAGCAGTAAACCTCAGAGTAGCAGCACAGGTCAGCTGATCACAGCCTGCACACAAAGAAAATCTGCTGTGATTCTTTTTCTCACGCTGAGCCACTACAACAGATCTTAGGGTTCCCCTGCCTGCCAAATCCCACTTTAACCCCTGACTGTAATATTTTTCTGCTTAGGTGTGGATGTGTGTATTTATGTATTTTTACCCAAGTATCTGTACTTCTACTTAAGTAAAGAATGTCTGTACTTAAAGTTCAGTGTAAAGCCTGGAGAACAGTGTTGTTCAAATCCCCTCAGGAACTTTTGGGTTATATGGGCATCTACTCAATGAAACTATGCAGTTAAATTTTCCTCTATACAGTTTTAAAGTTATTAGACATTGGCCTTTTGCCTCACGTGCATGTTGATGCAACTCTAATAAAAAAAAAAAAACTGCTGTTTTGATATTTAAATCACACTCAGTGTTGTCTAACATCACCTAATACAAGTCCCATTAATGTTCAGAGTGTGTTGCATGCCGAGGCATGTGTTATTTCTCCAGTAGTGGGGCTAATTACACTTTCCTTTAGTTCATTAGTAGCTCAGGGCTACACTGAAACCCCATCTATGACTAATGCAGACAAACAAATTAACCTCAGACTAAGCATGCACAGCCCTCTTGTCCTTTGTAAGATGAACACATATAAATAACATTTTTGCATGTTTTTTTTTCTTACAAAATTTGCCTTTCAGATTCACAGTG